ATAACTTTAAATATGTAGAAACATGGATAAGTTGTATTCAGACTTTTTGTACTGTTTTGACAACTGGAACAAATCAGATGTTTTGAAAGTGTGATGAGTTTTCTTTTTAATTTTCCTGTAGGGTCTCTGAGAATGTCCTCAGAAAGCTGAGGGAATTCTTTTAAAATTGAGGCACTGTGTAAGTGTTCCTTTACAGATTTGAAGCAATCAGACTAGATGCTTGAGAGTAAATATTGAATTCTGTGCTTTCTTTGTTAAGGAAATAGAAATGCAGCGTGAGGTATTTTAAGTAAAATTTTACATCTTTTACTGAAAGTTGTTATGGCATGAAGTAGGGCTTTTTTGGTGGTTTTGTTTGTTTCTTTTTTCGGTCCTGGGAGAGTGAACTCAGGGTCTTCCTACTCGACTAGATCCCCATCCTTTTTTACAGTTTTATTCTGAGACTGTCTCAAGATGGTCTTCCTCTAGCTTCAGCCACCCAGAGTATTTGGGTTGCACCTAAGCAGTATTCGACAGGCAGTAGTGTATACCGCATGGGTATGCTGGTGGGATGGAGCAGGAGAGCGTTCAGTTTCATTATGCTACTCAGTGTCATGTAATGTAAAACTTTGAAATATTTCTGGAATTTTCCATTGAGTATTTTCAGACTGTGGCCACCCGTAGGTGACTGAAACTGTGGAGAGTTTAACTGGGGTTGGGAAGACCTCTGTACTTAGAACTCTTTTAACTAGCTGAGTCCCTGCTTTTTTATATTCTTTATAAGTCTAGCTCCAAAATTAGAATTGAAAACAAGAATAACAGTCTAAAACAATGAATTATTAGTACTGTTTTAAAAATTCAGTTAAATTCTATACGTTTATTGTGAAAGTTTTAGTTAACTCATTAAAAACTACTTTTTGGATTATCATGATATTGTATAATGTAAACATTTTATAATGCTTGAATCAGGATATTGTATCTACTTCTTGAAACATTTATTATTTCTTTGTGATGAAAATATTCAAAATCCTTTCTTTTTGCTTTATTTAGAAATAGTTATTACCATTATTTATAGTCGCCTTACTATCCAATAGAACACTAGAACTTATTTTTTGTATCTTACTGTAACTTTAAAATGTTAGAACTTTTAAAATGTTAGATTGTTAAATATCGGTATTTATATGGTTATATTTCATGAGTGACCTTCATTAGACTTACTAGTGAACTAACAAGGTACCATCCCCAAATTCATCATAATTCTTTTAATATAGAGTTGCTTACACTTTTAGAGTCGTCTTTAGGATCTTTAGAATTACTACATATGACAAAATTAGATAAGTAACCTTAATAAACCCATTAGTGGTTCTATGGGCTTTTTTGATTTGAGATGTGATCTATTGTCTGGAGCTAATTTGGTCAGTTTTCTCTTGACTTTAAAATTGACTCTATAACCCTAGGATCCTAATCCTTCTACTACTTGTCTGTTTGCTTTCTGCTTTTTTAGAAATTAGGCTTTGCATGCAGTAAACTGATCTTTCTTAAAAACATAACAGACTTCTCATAAAGAATGTGTTTTCCCCCATTTTGTCACCATTAGAGTGCCTGCTAAATTAACACTTCTGTCCATAACATAGGGCATCTGTGCAATTTTTAAATCCTTAAATTTGTTTACTTATTGATTGAGGACTGAGTGACTGTGATGAGCATTGAACTGTGAGCTGTGCCCTCAGCCCTTTTTTACTTCTGAGACAATTTGCTAAGTTGCCTTGCTGAGTAGCTGGGATCACAGGTGTGTTCATCATGCTCAGCAGAAGAAATGAGTCTTTAAGAAGCACTGTTCTTCCTGAAAAGGGGTTCACGTGAGTTGAAAGTGTAGCCTGGGGGTACAGAGTGAGACCCAGTGTCCAAGAAAACAGAACAAAACAAAAAGTAGATTTTGTGAAAGTGTTGACGTACCTTGTGCCTCTTTGCACCCTGTTTGGATGGTGGTGATTTTCAAGTGGAAACTGCACAATTCTTACTGATTCCAGTTAGGAATGGAGATCTGTGACATGTTGAAATGTTTTAGTTAGCACAATGCAAAACTCAGGAAAATTCCTGTATTTCTTTGATAGGTTTTCCTGCTGTTTGTCCCTTTAGAAGAATATTGCTGTGATGAGAAACTTAAATTCCTCAGCCTGTGAGAATTGTTAAGGGACCTGAATTATCAGTGACTGTCAGCCTCTTCCCCCTAAATTTGTTTATAGTTTACAACAGTAACAACCACAACAAAACTGCATCTCAACACAAATAGGTTGTGGTTAATAAATAAGGCAGATATTTTTACTCAGGTCTGTTAAAGAGTTCACATAATAATGTGTTCAAATAATAATAATGTTTGATTTAGAGAAAAGAATAGAAGTTGGTTAGTTTTTTTAAAAAAGTGACTAGATAAATATAATGGAAAAGTGTTTTAAAAGAAATAGGACTGTGTTTATGTTTTCATTAAACAAAGGTACTGTATAAGTACTAACAAAAATTTAGTTATATATGATTTGCAAGGCTTTTTTTCAACATGTTCAAGAGTTTTCTTTAATAGGTACTAATTTTAAATACTTAAGTTTTCTGAGTGATAAGGCCGAGTGATTTGCGTTACAGTTTTCACGAATGTCTAATTTGGTCATCTGCTTTGAGGTCATTAAAGTTCGCTATTAATGCTTTTAAAATATGCATGCAAAATTACTGACCTGTACATTTACTTGAGCCTGGTTAGGACAAACTTCAGCAGAATTATATAAAAAGTTTTCTTTACCATTATAAGTTGTGCATCTTCAAGTGAAATGTTCTGAAATGATTAAGTATTCATATTTTGGATTTTTGGGTTAGGGTGTTCAAGTGGTGAAGTCTTTTAGATATTCCAGATTCTAAAAACTTTTGACGATTTCAGATAAGGGTTCCCTAACTAGTGATTGAGGATCATGAGGAACTCCTTGTGGTAAAATTCAGATTTACATTGAAACAGCTCCTAAACTTACCAGTACAAAAAGACCAGTCATATTTAAATTACCTTTGTGTAGTCAACAGAAATATATTAACATTATATATTTATATATTGTTAGGAGATTTCAGATTTTTCCAGAATAGTCACTTATTAGTATCATGGTCTAACGTTATTTTATTGAGAAGTAATTTTTGATTTTATAACAAAATAAATTTAAGTAAATTGAAGTTTACATACAGAAAATATACATAAACTCTATGTTGATGTGCTTTTACAAAGTGAATGCACCTTCACACTTTTTTAACCCCAACCTAGATCAAGATCCCAACTTCTCAGAAGCCTCTCTGTGTCCAGTACCAGTCAATAATGTCTTCCCAGGAAAGGTAAACTACTCTTCTGACTTAATAACCAGAGTTTGGTTTGTTAAGTTTTATAGAAACATGTAGTGTAGTATGCACTGTTTTGTCTTGATTTCTTTGACACAGCATTGAATTTTTGAGATTTGTTATGTTTGGTTTGTGGCATTGGTTTTAAATTTTTCTCTGTAGATTAGGATTTCATGTATTAGTTTGTTTCTACTTACTGATAGGTGTTTAGATTATGAATCACTTGGCTTTTAATCAGTGATGTTGTGATAATTCTTACATACATTGTGTGTACATATGTACACGTTTCTGTTGAGAGTATCCCTGGAGGAGGGTGTACTGCTTAATCATTGTGAATATGTTAGGAATATGTGTTTTCAAGTAGATTCCAGTTTTTCCTACTTTTTATACCATTTTACATTTCTGCTTCCAGTGTATGAGGATACCAATTATTGTACATTCTGTTTATATGTACTTAGTACTCTCTGGTTTTTAGGTAAAAAATTAGTTGTTCTGGTGGGTTATAGTTTCTCATTGTGTTGATTTTCTTTGATGAATAGTGATGTTAAGTGCCTTTTCTATTGATCTTTTAAAAGGTTTGATTTGAATCTTAGGCTATCTTAAAAATCGGGCTTTTGTGGAGACTTAAAATATTTTTGTTTTTTGAAATATTTTGAGTATGAGTTCTTTCTTGTACATGTGTATTGCTAATACTGTCTTCTACTGTGTAGCTTGCATTTTCACAAATAAAAAGGAATACTTCTTAATGGTAAAAAAATGCACTTTGTTTTCCTGTTTTTTTAAATAAAACTTTAAAAAAATTGAAGTTTACATTCAGAAAAATACTGTATAAGTGAACTCTTCTATGTTGATGTACTTTTACAATGTGAACATAAAGGTGAATGTGCTTAAGTTGGAAGTTGTGATAGTATCTTCTTGTCATCTTATGGAAGCTTTACTTTTAAAAAATTTTATGTGCAGGTCTCAAATATACTTTTCTTTCCCTCTTTGCTTTGGCCTGTGATGGATATTAATTTGATTTTGATTTTAGCAGAAATAGTCATAGAAAATCCATTGATTTGGTTTACTCATAAGAAAGTGTTTTTATTTTATTTTTATGTGTGGTATTACAGTTTCTAGAATGGTAACATTTTCTGCTAGCTAAGATAGGTACTTATGGTGATTCTTTGAAAGGAAGTTTTAAACAACTTTATTTCACAACTCTTAAGAGAGGCAGGTTATTTTTATTTTTCATAATGTGTTATATTCTCCCTTGCTGGTTTGGCTTTGAAGTTATAATGCTGGTTTAAAAACATGGAGTGGTGTAGTCATATGCAGCTACTTTAAGCAGATGACTTAGGCATTATAAGGCATACAGTGATTAGAAAAAAGTATATTTCTGTTCAGGTCTACAGTAAAATTAGCATATATGTTGATTTTTTTTTTTTTTTTTTTTTTGTCTTTTTTCCTTTTTATCGGTACCGGGGATCGAACTCACAACCACCTGCTTGCATGGCAGGCATTTATGCCGCTGAGCTAAATCCCCAGCCCCTTATATGTTGAATTTGAAATATTACACTTAACCCTCATATTAAGCAGAATTCTTAGGTAGATTTTACAGGGTAGGAACAACTTTGAAGTTGAAAAACCGTTTCTTTCTTTGTTTTTTTATTTAGGGAGTCTCAGCAGTCAGCCAGATTCTTAAAAAGCTATCTAAATAGTTGGTAAGTACTTGATCTCCTTGTTAAATACTTTGCATGTTACTTAAATTTACACGTGCTATGTGAATGACATTTACAATAGCCAATCTAAATTACAATTATAAATTATATTGCATTTAATGTTTTCTTGAGTACTGATTAAATTTTTTCTCCTTGTACATATTTTGATCCCTTTTGAATTTTTCTACACATTTTGTCCAGAAAATTCTTTGGCTGTGCAGTCTGCAGTCTTAAGTTCAAAGGAGGTATTAACGTTAGTGGTAGAAATGGTAAAACTTTATGTATGAATCAGGGTTTTTCTACTTGAGTTTTTGTAGTAGTTCTCTGTTCATTGCCAGAACATGTACAAAGTTCTTTTCTTGTCATCCATTGCTGGCCTCCTCCCTGTCTCAGGCGCTGTTTGCTACAGCATGCCAGCCATTATTGTGGTCAGACCCTGTGCTCTTTTCTATCTAGAGTGCCCTAACTTCTTTGTTCAGAGATTAAAATGTGAAGAGTTTTATAGACATCTACAGTTAAGAATTTCAAAAACTTATAAATTCATTGGATAAAGCTTTTATTTAGTTTTGCATAACAAAACTTAATCTTAATCTCAGATTGTGGTTTACTTCAACTATGTACTATTTTAGATTAACATTTACATACTATAGCATAATAGTTGTGTTTTTTCTTTTTTGTCTTTTTGTCTTTTTGAGGCAGGGTTTCACAGTGCAGTTCAGGCTGGCACTTTGTAGCCCAAACTGGCCTTGAACTCACAGCACTTCTGCCTCAGCCTCCTAAGTGCTGGGATTATAGGCCTGTGCCACCATACCCTGCCAAGCATGATAGATTTTGAAGTGATTAAAAATATATTTCAAAAGCAGGAAGGTGCTGAGATGTTGGATAATCAAGTATCATAATAGAGTTTGTGACGGTTTTTAATGTAGTCAAAAAAGATTTCTTGAGTTCAGTCCCCGGTACCAAACAAACAAAACAAAAAAAAAAGATTTCTGCGATAAATATATTTGATTAGCTAAAGAAGATCATGTAGCTATATGAGGAAATACTGAAAAGTACTGATTTCTCTTAGTGCACTTTTTAATGAGTTTGAAGCAAAAAATATTCAATGATATTTCTAAGATTGTAGTAATCATAGTATATATTTAAATACTCAGAAATTATACTAATCTTTTTGCCATATACTTATAATAAATTAACATTTTAAGGAGGAAATGATATTTGTAAAGATCTCTTAATCATATTTCTACTGCAGTCCAATGTGGTCACTGATGTCTGGATATAGGGTGAGTAGAGAAGAGTAACTTACTGTCATTTTTTTTTTTTGTTGATTCATATATTCAAGTTAATAAGCCAATGGGGATTCCATCTTTACAGATTTATTTTACTGATAGTTCTATTGAGATATAGTTTATACACCGAAAACACCTTTCAGTATTCTGTTGTATGTAAGTATATTCGGGTTTGTGGAGTCAGGACTGCTGTTTAATGCCTTCTTGGACCCCTGGCTTCACTTGCCTCTCAGCCCAGGCAGCACTGATGGACTTCTGGTTGTGTGGATTGCCTACTCTGTGCATTTTGTAAAGGTGGCCTTTGTGTCTTATGTCTTTCACTTCACACAGTATTTTCAAGTTGCAGAATAGTTACCAGTATTTCATTCAGTTTTATGACAGAATGATACTGTATTGTATACCACATTTTGTTTATCCATTCCTGTGGATTGTGTCCACTTTTTTGGGTATATTTTGGCCATTAGGAATGCTTTTGTAATGAAAACTGTTATGTAAGTTTTTATATAGACATATTTTCACCACTTTAGTGTGCTTGGTTGGGGTTGAATTGGTAGTCAGGTAGTCATTTTTGTATGTGTAATTCTTTGAGGAACTGTCAAACTGGCTATTCCAGAATTACATACAGTCCCACCATTAATTGTTTGAAGTGGTATATGTAATTGTGGTTTTGATTTTCATTTCTCTAATGACTAATGATAAGCATCTTTCCCTGTGCTTATTCATCATTTGTTTTTTGTGAATATGTCTTTTGTCCAGTATTAAAGCTGAACTGTCTTTTTAATCTTGAATTCTAAGCATTCTTTATGTAGTCTATATACTAGACCCTTATTAGAGTCATGATTTGCAAATATTTTCTCCTGTTTTGTGGATTGTCTCTACTTTCTTGCTGGTGTCCTTTGAGGCCCCAAAGTTTTAAGTTTAGATGAAGTTTGTTTTGTCTGGTTTTTCTTTTGTTGCTTGTGCTTTTGTGCCATACTGTACATTTATTTTAAATAAATATTCATTGATAATCTCAGCCTATGACAAGGTTTTTAATTATCATAGGACTATAAAAAGCATTGTATTTCTTATGTTTGACAGTTAAAGCCCATAGGAAGCAATTATTTTGTACTTGTGCTTCAATTCCTCAGCTAATTGTTTCTAGCAAAACCTTATGCTTGATCCCATGTATTACAATGAAAAAACTATTTGTGTGTGAGTTGTGTATTGATACTAGTCTTTCTAATTTATGTTTAGTTTTTTGAAGAGGGGAGGGACTATTTTTAAGTTTAGTTTATCATGTCAATTATTGTGTATTGTCTTCATACACATTGCCTTTTTATTTTTGTTTATTATTGTTTGTTTATTTACTTTTTGGTCTTTTGGAGACAGGTTTTCACCATGTAATTCAGGTTGGATTTGAATTTACTTTGTCATCAGACTGGCCTCAAACTCATAGAGATCTTCTTGCCTCAGCCTCCTGGGTGCCAAGATTACAGGCATGGGCCAGTGTTCCTGGCACTGTTGCCTTTTTAAAGCATATGTGTAGATAAAAATATTTTGATATTTTATAATCTTACAAATAAGTAAGCATTTCCTCTCCTTTATTGAGTACATCTTCTTAATTCATTATGACCAGTTTAGTTCCTTATTCTGATTAAGTACATGACTTTGCTTTTGAAAGAGAACTGAGTCACATGGAATTTGTGTTTAATTCTTTTCTGAGTATACTTCTTAACTCTCGTGGGGCGAGCATGGTCAGAAGCTGACTTTGGGTTTCAGAGAGCAGAACATGGGGCTGACAGAAGAGTCACAGTGCAGGAGAGAAACCCGAACGTGGAGGATGTGAGTGGCTAGGAAGAGGCAGCTAGGACGTGAAGGAGCGAAGCACGGCCACTTGTTGCACCCTGCAGGAGAGACATGGTTTGCAGTGTGAGTCTAGGTAGGGTTATTAGAACCACACTCAAATCAAAAGCAGGAGGCCCTTTGAATGAGGATAACCAAACCTAGGGTTGCAATGTTATTTACAATGTCTTTTTCTAACAAATTACTAGATTTGTAAAGAAAATGGGAATATGACTCAATTTAAGATAAAGAAAAATTAATCAATAGAAACTAACCTTGAGTAGTAACAGCTACTTGATTTATCAAAGATCTTAAAATAACTATATATAATCAGAAGAATTTCTAAGGAATCTTATGCTGAAAAAATCACATAAAAATAGCCTTAATAAACAAAAGGGGATCTCAGCAAAGATCTTGCAGAGGAGAATTTTAGACTGAGAAAATCAGTATCTGTAATAAAAGTTAATTAGATAAGCAAAACAGCTTTTTGGAGGTGACAGAATAGTCAGTTAACTTAAAAATAGATTAAGAAAAAAATGTCAGAGGAGAGATGAACAGTGTGCTCCAGAGGAAAGAGAACGGTGTATTTGGAGTCTGAAGTAGAAGGAGCCCTCATAGATACAAAAGCTTACCTGAGTTCTGTCTGGTAGTTTTGGGAATCTATTTTTGTCTTCCCATGAGATAGTATCAGTCATTTGTGTATAAATTTGCTGTTTTATTCTGTACTTGCACAAAATAGTTCTAATGTGATAGTTTTATTTTTATATAAGTTAAATTTATATTTTAATAAAAATACCAATATTTGAACAAAAACTTGGAGGACTATACTTATGGAGATATTACTACCAAAGACTTTGTAGCTTCCTTTTGATTTTGGATCTGTTAGATAGTAATTTGCTTTAAAAGTTTAGAATTGAATTTGTAACTAAAATGGTTATTTAGCAAAGATTTGTTTTACTTAGATATGCATATTTAGTGAAGAACATTATTTAGAATGTAGAAGTGCATTATCAGAATAATTTTATGTGATAACTTTTGTTGATAGGTTATATTTATTAGGGAATGCAGCTCACAAATATCTGGCATTACTTTTTACCTTATTCTCCTAAATCCTTTTATCTTTAGCTTTTTGTTTGTGTGCTTTTTGAGGGAGATATGGTGAAAGAATTAATCATTACAGTGTTTAATCACTATATTGAAATCCAGCGCTGAGAAAACCTTAATGCTATTTAGTATGGATTTCCTAAATATTATACTTCCCTCTTCTGTCTTTTTGTAGCTATTACACCATATTAACATTTTTAGTTTCATTTCAACAAATGTTAAAAATCAACGTTTCGGAAGTTCAGATTTGTATGTCTGCTAATTATATCACTAGTACTTTTGTTGAGGTTGGAATTTGGAAGAATCTCATCAAAATATACTTGTAAGAAATATAGGAAATTAGTAAGTTAGTAAAGTGAAAGAAGAACACAGACAGTTGCAGAATATAGGACACCTTAGGGGGTTTTTCTACATCAGTAGCATGAAGGGAAAAAAAGCCTAGGGAGTTGCTCTCAAGTAAAAGAGAGATGAGAAGCCTAGTGGGCATACAGAGAGTTGTTCTACGTTGGCTTTTTAGCGCAAGTTAGAAAGGACAATTTAGGCACAGTCTGGGAAATTAGAATTTTAGCTGTTACTAATTAGTATCACAGAAATATTGTTAGTATGAATCTGTGTAGAGATTTTTGTGAGTCCAAAGGGCACTGGCCAGATTTCTTAATGATACATAACACTGTATCTGGGCAAGGAATATATTGACATAACATTAAAAAAAAGAATAAACAGTGTCTACAACAATATTGCAGTATGTGGTAGACGCTTAATAAATATTTCAGTGGTTGAATGGAC